CTTGCCTTTCTGAGACACCTTAGTGTATCTCCATCTACCTTAAAATGGTTTTCCTCATACTTAAATGACCGCCAACAAGCGGTTCGTGTTGACGAATCGCAGTCTGATTGGTGCAGCTTAGCGGCTGGCGTCCCTCAGGGCGGCATCCTATCGCCACTTCTTTTTTCCGTCTTCATAAATTTCATTACCACCTTTCTTCGCTGTTCGTTTCATTTGTATGCCGACGATTTGCAGTTATACCGCCGGTGTTGTTCCGATGAGATTGACTCTACAATATCTCTCCTCAATGAGGATCTTGAAATGCTCTGCAAGTGGTCAGAGCGCTTTGGTGTCGTTGTCAACCCGACTAAGTGCCAGGCTATTATTATTGGTGGATCTTGCCAAATATGTAAGGTTGATATTGACGCTGTAAGCCCAATTGTTTATAATGGCATGCAAATTCCTTTTTCTCCTAGTGTTAAGAATCTTGGTTTGCACATTGACAGTACCTTTGGTTGGTCTACTCACATTAACGAGACATGTCGGCGGGTCACAAATATGCTCCGTGCCCTCTATAAATATAAAAATTTTCTCCCTGTTCACACAAAAATCTCTTTGATCCAGGCTCTTGTCCTACCATCCATAGATTATGCTGATGTGTGCTATCCTGACTTAAATATAGATTTTCTTGGTAAATTGGAGCGGTCTTTTAACAGCTGTATTCGATTCATTTTCAGTCTACGGAAATATGATCATATCACTTCATTTCGCCGTGAACTCAATTGGCCGCCTCTTTCAAACCGTCGTGATCTAAGAATTCTCACAACTCTTTTCTCAATTCTTTTTGACCCTCATGCTCCGTCTTACCTGAAGTCCAAATTTCACTTTTTGAGTTCCACTCACTCTCGTCCTCTTCGTTCATCTGATAACCTTCTTTTGTCCATTCCTTCCCACTGCTCCAGCTTCGTGTCAAAATCATTTTGTCTCCAAGCTATTCGTCTCTGGAACGGTCTTCCGGAGAGCGTGAGAAAAGCACCCAGTAAACCTGCTTTCAAGGTCCTTGTACGCCAGCATTTCGCTAAGAAGTCATAACAATTTCTATATTATGAACCAACTTCTGGTCAGTCCGACTATTATTAATATTATTTGTAGTTAATAGTTATTTTCTGTTTTATTATAGTATTCTTAAGTAAGTAAAGTGGTATTTATTATTGTATATGTGTAGGTATTTATCGTATATATAAATATGTAAACATGTATTTGTCGTATTATATATAACTACATATATATATATATATATAAATATGTTATATATATGTAGTTATTTAGGTATATTTATAGATGTTAATTATTATATTAAGTAACATGTAGTTTTATGAATTTAATTTTGTTTTTATTTCTCTTTAACTATATATAATGCTTTAATTTACTTGACCGCATAATGTCTCTGCTTAGCCCGATGGTTGACTGGTAGAGAATGCCATGTGGCATTAAGTCCGCCATTTGTAACAAAACAATAAAGAGTAAATAAATAAATAAATAAATAAATAGAAGATATTTGGACTTTAACTTCATTAGAATTAATTTAGTATAGTAGTTTGGACTTGTAAATTTTTAGGCTAAATTCTGTTGAGACGGGGAACCTATGCCCGATTTTCCTCAGGTGTCAAAATTGTCAAAGACTTAAAAAATTTAGCAATCAATTCTCTGTGGACTTGAAATAATTTATTGTTTGTTTGGTGACCGTCATAGACTTTGAAATTTTTTACAGTTTGTTATTATACTTCTGTATTGGTTTAGGTAATATTCTGTTTATCTTTTACGAAATAATTTTGTTGTTGTTGTATGGTGTACGAAAGGTTTCTTTATTTGATTTCATGTCATGTCAAGTAATTATTGAGAAACAAATATGGAAATATTATTTAAAATTCAAGAACATGTAACGTCAGTCATTGGTAATGGTATAGTTAGCTTTAAAAAGTTAACCAAAGAACGTCTTACTCAGAGTTATATAGAGGCAAGGTTAGAAAGATTAGAAGTTCTATGGAAATCTTTTGTAGACACACACATAAAGATTATCTCTGATATAGACACTAAAGACTACGAATCATCTTCTTACTGTAAAAATAATATGTACCAAACAACAGAAGAGTTGTATATTGATTATAAGGCCGAATTAAAAGAAGCATTATTAAAGATCAAAAAGGCACAGTCTGTTACTGACAGTTGTTTTGACACAGAGAGTTCTCGCTTTATATCATATTATACTAAAGTCCAACATATCACATCAACTTCTTGTTTGTTCTGCTCAGAAAGTCACGACATAAGTAACTGTATTTTCTTTTTTGCACATGAAACTGTTGAAGTGCGTCGTAATTTTATTCGATTAAATAAGTTGTGCTTTAATTGTATGGGTCCAAATCACTCCGCGTTTGCCTGCCGTCAAGCTTCTAGATGCCTCGTATGTCAGAAAAAACATCATACCTTACTACATCTCAATGTTCCAATATCAACGGAAAACCATGTCGCTGATTTATCCATTGACAAGAGAGCCATTGTTGTAGACACTACTTCTTCGTCAGGTAATTCTAATATTACTAAGGAAGTCAATCACGTAGTAAGGAGTCATTCAACTACTCATAGTCAAGCTATTACTACGTTAGTTAGAGTACAGTCCATGTCAAGAAGTCACTGTACTTTCAGATCCTTGGTAGCTAAAGGATTTCAATCTTCATTCACTACAGATGCCACTATGCAATCGCTAGGTCTCCAAAAGTTTCCAGCGAATGCTTTTATGTCAGGTATCGGTAATCAAAGTGACTCTGTAGTAACGAAATCGTCAATTACTAAACTTCAATCAATGCATTGCCTCAATTATTATGTTGTAGACACCAGGGCTCATGTATTGAATAAATTAACGTCCATATTATCGACTCATAAAGTCAATATAGAAATATTTAAAAAGTTAGTAGTAGTACAAATAGCAGATCTTGACTCTGATTTGCTTCTGGGAGCTGATATTCAGATTTTAGTCGTTGGTTTAAGCAAGGGTCCTTCAACTTTTCTGGTAATACAAAATGGATATATTCTATCTGGCCAGGTTTCTTCAAAACCTTTGGGAAGCCTCCAGTTGTCATGTCTTAAGGTCATTAGATCAAATGCCACTGCTCGTAGGAATGATTTACTTCTTAAATGTTGGGAATCGAAGTCGGGGAATTCAGTTATAAATAAAAAGATTCTTGCTCAAGAACAGCAATATTGTAAAATGGTATTCGAGGATAAACCCACCAGAGAAGACTTTGGCTGGTTTTTAGTTAAGCCACCATTCCGCTCATTTAATTATGGTAAACATGGTATACAGATTATTGATACTGAAGCACGGATATACAGAAACACCTCTCAAGTTATTTCCTGTATCTCACGATTATTCGATCCGCTGGGGTGGGTTACGTGTTCCATAATTCAAACAAAAATTTCAAAATTATGGATGAATGGTTTAGAATGGTTTCAAGACAAGCTTAATCATTTGTTGCAGAATTGGATTAAATACAGGGACAAAACAAGGCTCAGTAGTTATCTTAGTAAATGCAAGGTTTTCATTGCCAATAGGGTAAAAAAAAAGAAAAGTCAATTGTTTACCACAGCCAGTTTAAAGTTGGTCCTTCTTGGTTTATATGTAAATATTAAATACAGTCCACTTAGGTACAAGCTTGTTATAACTTAAGAAGGCCAAAAGGAACTTTCCCAGGACAAAAATGGAAGTCCTCAGGGTGGGCGGTACTATATTATTTTACTTAGCTTAAGAATTCTCCAATTGACTAACACAAATTAGTGACATTGGTATGTTATGGTATATGATGTTTTTTTTTGTTTTGATTGCTAAAGCAGTTTACAGCATTATTACATATTTCGTTACAGTTATCACATTACCCGTGTCGTTGGCTTTCTATGCAAATGTTCTCTATATAGAGATTTGTTTGACTAAAATATTTGCGTTAATTGTTTATTTATATACAATTTTAGTAATGTTTTCTCAGTTATAGTTATTTAAATATTGCTTACGACTATAATAGATTTATTATTCAGTATGTTTATATTGTTGTTCACTTATAAAGTTATTTTTTGTAAATATTTTCAATCTGTGTTAAAGTATAAAGAATTTTATTTTGTTGATTGACTAAGATGTCCATTATCTAATAGTGCGACTGTCACCTAGGTATTTTTCAAGAATTTGTGTTGTTATATGTATAATCTACTATGAAGATGACTTTTGATTTATAATTAAAATTGCAATCTCATTTGTTATGGCCATGCTGTCCATGGTGGGCGGTATGTTAAGAATCAGATTAACGTTTTGTATACTAGATGGCAGGAATAGTCTATTGAATCGCGCTATCGTTTTGTTTTTATGGAAACATAAGTATTTTATGTAGAAGCAATAAATGCTCTCTCGCTATTTAAAAATTGGAACAGGTGTTTAATTCTTTAGTTAGTTCCACCTCCTTTTTGGGACACTAAACACGTAGTACAGACATAGTATACACTTACATTTGAATTTCCCGGAATCGCGGTATTTAATCGATAAAAGGTGCTTTCCATAATAGCCAACAACTACACTTTAGGCAAATATGCATCCGATTATCCGATCTCTACTTATGAGGCATTCAAAATCTTTGTTAATCTCTGTAGTCTAATATTTAATTTATCTTTTTATATAAGTTCTCCTTTATTGCAGAGTTGTTTTGGTTAAGTTGAATTGTAATTATCTCATTCTTGTGGGCCGGGGGCTTGCTGATCTCCAATACAGGTATTTCCATACTCATGTCAGACAACTGGAAGCTACTCACAGGTTATATGTTTCTTTTTTAATATATTTCAATAGTACCATGTTATGGGGACAAATAAATATAATATTATTGCCGGACTCTGCCCTGCCCCAATAGAGACGCGACAGGCGCCTCCAACATTAACAGGTCAATACAATAAAATAATCTATTGAGTATTTTTTATATTGTATGCAGGAAAATCAGAAGCACAAATTGTTGACGGTTAACATAGAAGAGGATCTCAGCAACCCCAATCTGAGACCGGACTTCGTGGATCAGATGTTTGACTACAGCTCTGAGGACTCGCTGGACGATCTGTACGACCACGACCTTTATGACCACGACCTATACGAGGACTTCGATGATTTCCTTGGCCCAGGTGCGTGTACCATCATACCATGGCCGGCAACTGCCTTAAGCGCGTATTCCACCTGACTAAATTCAGACGTCCTAGTTAGGACATAAAAAGAAAGCTAATTAGAAGCTTCTGATTACATTTGACTAATTTAGTTACTGATTCAGTCAGTTGCAAGCGCGCGGCGAATTCAGTCGGACTTTTTCGTAATGGCTCCAGTCCTGTTAAAACAACAAAAAAACGTTCTTTTCGTAGACCTGACCGTTGGCTCAATAATAATAAAGTAAAAAACGAGAAACGTGGGTGAAAGAATATTAATATTATTCATGTTATTTTTATCGTTTTTTTTTTCGAAAGATACGGCATACATTCACTCAATTCGATTATGTAACTCATAACTTCTTTTTCTTTTACCGCCGACATCGCGCACTTGACGTCCTCACGCAGCGACGCCTGCGGTGTGACTGAAGCATCTAAACTCTATCACACGTTCCTAAATCGCTTTCTGATTGGGATACTAAATGATTTAGTCAGTCAGAAGCCACACTTCTTCCGGTTTAGGATGCTAATTAGGATCCTAACTACCTAACTGCTACTTCACTTGACTGAATTAGTTACTGAATGATTTAGAACGTCTGAATTTAGTCATGTGGAATACACGCTTTATGCTCTACTTTATCCCACTTATATAATGTTATTATTAAAAAGTTCCTATATTTGTGACTCAAACACTAAAACGGCTACACAGATTTGTATTTTGAAAGTACACCCGTCATTTTATGCTGAAGTTGTGTTGTATGCTTTTTAAAAAATATATCTGTCCATTCATAGCTCGTATTCAGTTTTGCTGTGCTATTATTAAGTTTCTCTTAATATATTGTTTTAATTAAACAAGGTTAATTATATACAGCCACTTTAGACAAATTTTAAGTTATATTTCTGACCTTTTATGATTCAGTGTTTCTTTAAAAAAAAATGTTTATATACAGGGTGTAAAAAAACCTTTAACGAAGTCGAAGGCCACGTATTTTCCACATCATGACGATCATTTTTTTCTTCTGGACCATACCTGGGAAATTTATAGTTAGGGAGATATTGGAGGTCAAAGTCACAATTTTTTTTTCAAGAATTTTACATTAATATTTTCTAAACGTTATTTAGAAACTTTTTTCCTGAGGAACATAATTTTTTTTTAGTATTTCTTCCATAATAAGGCTTTTGTCTTTACAACGAGAAATGTACAGCAACGCATGCACACGCACCGACGCGCTGTGCCCCGCGCCCGCGCCCCGCGCCCGCGCTCGTATCAGCTGCCACGTAGGTAAACAACCGAACGTGCCCAGTCAACACCGGGGTTTAATCCAACCACTTATTAAAACGAAATGCGTAAATTAGTCATTTACCCCTTATTAGGTTTGCTTAAAAAAACATTTAATTAAAATGAAAGTTACACTAGCCATATTTTTTTTAAACTCAAGTAGATTCCCAAATTTTTTATTGTTTATGTAACAAACTAAACCATGCTTCTGGCTTTTATTTTCCATAACGGTTACATTGCCATAATCATCAAAAAAAATGTTAATAATAACAGGAAGGTTTTTTTTACACGAGGCGCAACGAATTACCACACCCCACCTGATGTTCAGTGTAAGTGGAGTCCAATCGCGAAGAAAGATGATGCGGCAGAAAGTGTTCGCTCTAGCCATCCTCACCTTACCGGCCTGAACGCAATCCTCTACCCCGCAAAGCCCTGGAACCTTACTCACCAACAGAAATACAACACCACCAAAAGGTGGAGATTGCTTCACCAGACGGGCGCTCCATTTCAAGCGGAAAATCCGCTGTGCCCTACCTCTCTTAAAATACCTTACCTACGGAGGAATGAGCTTATGTTTCATTAAAAAGTTAAAGTACCATCTAAACAGGTGACAAAATGATCTTTTAAAACAGGCTCGTCATTCCTTACTTTCATTCCTCTCTACCGCAAAAAAAATTTAACGTCTTTTCGATAGTAATTAAAATGAAACTAAGATACTTACCAAATCTAAAACGCCTTACAATTTAACACTAGCAATGTTGATTGTTTAGTGTTAATTTTTGCACTTTCGCTTAGGATTTTTTTTTCGTGGACGTCAGGACATACTGGCGTCCAATACAATTGTAAACTCGATTGATTCCAGTAAATAAACAAAGTTCCATATCTTTTAGCAATCAATTACTTAATTAGATTCTGCCGTTTTTTTTCTAGCTCTGTAAGTTCTTTCCGGTTGACTGGTAGAGAATGCCATATTGGCATTAAGTCCGCCGTTTGCAGTGTAAAGGCAATACAGATTAAATAAATAAATAAATTACAGCCATTATTCATACTTTACTTGGATTTTAAATAAAAGTAACTTTATTATCCCATAAACGTGTTAAGTATTGTTGTTTTTAACGATTGTACCAATTCGAATTATTTTGGAAGCTTGCTATGAATCGATACTAATACAAGAACATTAATCGTTTTTAATTCGGAAGGATCCGTAGTCAACGAAGATTAAACGAATGAATGTTTCCTCCCGGTTTTACATTCCCATTTTTTTATAGTACCTACCTGTACTAAATTAAATTCTAGTTTTGTAATGTTTTAAAAAATACGTAAATTATTTATGGAAAATGATAAAAAACGCTACCGATGCGTAACACAATGTCCGTTATGTAGGTAATTATCTACGTATTATCTAATTGTTAATTGGTCAGTAGGTATAACCTAGGCAATGCAACGCCGGCCGGCCGGCGCGGCGGCGTCGGCGGTGAACTGAAAGAAGAAGATGGCACTATCGTCTCTTTTTATCTCTACCGAGCCCGCGCCCGCGCCGCTCTCCAGTTCGGTTTCTTAGGTCATCGAATGCGCTTTTCAAATTGCAAATTTGCGATTTTTATTGTTATCTCGTGCGATTTCAATTAAGTGATAATTTGTGAACGTGAAAGTGTGTGTGTGTGTGTGTTAGAAGATGCCTAACCAAACGTATACTGCTCGTGAGTACGTAAACATGGTTCTCTGTTACGGGAGAGCACGTGGAAAGAGTTTTTCACGATTCCAGACGAGGTCGAGTAGTCGGTAAGTAGTAAAAGTACTTACGTAGCTCTAAATCTAAACAAATTCCATAAGGGCTGTTTTTAAATGTAGGAACTTTGGAAGTAAATAATCAAGTAATTTTGTGTACATAATACTCCCGCTAGGTAGTGGAGAAGCGCGTTCTATCGACGCACTTACACACACGCACACACTTACACACAGGCACATTATTTGCGTAGCGCCACAGTAGCGCGGCGCGCTATACATTGCGTACTGGAAAAAAATTTATATATTTTTAACTTAAAAATAAAAATGATTTCCCACGTATAATATTTTGTAATATTACTTGTTTGGGTGTACAGAATGCGTAGTTTTAGTTTTTGTCATTGGTTCTTTTATACCCTGTATATTACTCTTTTCTGCGAATAAAAATATGACAAAACTTAGTTTATGTTGCAAATAATATTCACTTTATTTTGACCTAAATTCAATTGCTAGTTATTCAAATTTAATATCGTTTATTCAGTCTAGGCTGTTACAAGCACTTGTGAATGGAGAAAAGCTAAACCATCGGTTCGCAAATCTACGGCGGGAGACCTTGTACTGAAAAGAACAGACAAGAAACTCAGCCAGGGTTGTTTTTTTCTCCCTGTATTAAATACAGAGTCGAAAAATGACTTCAATATGAGATAACTCATGAAGTCACTTTCCATTACAAATGTAAATGGTACAACATATTGAAAATTATATGTGATATTTCAGCAGATGAATTACTCCTGGATCACGACGACGACGACGAATTGAATGGATTGTACGCGTATGGCATCCACGCGGCTGATATCATCCTGCTATAGGTCTTATATCAAACTCGACCACTCAGCAGCGTTACTCTTCTCATATGAAAGAAATACCTACTATGTTATACGTCCCCTAAAATATTACCACATTATAAAGAAGATTTTCGGTTCTGTTCAGTGAGTTATGTTGTAATTTTTACAAGAGATTTATAAGAAAAAGTTATCGCAACCAGAATCAGTTAACTTGAATTCCACTTGTTTTTCATTTGTGTGTGCTGCATGACTAATTAATACTTTGAGAATGTTATGTACATTGGTAAAGGGTGAATTTATATTAGTTTTTGTTATCCTGCAAACTTTTAAAAGAAAGTTATGTATTACAACTTCAATTAAATGGTATTTATCTGTGATTCAACAATTACTTTCAATTGGCCAAATTCGGTCTTAATCTAGTTTACAGCTTTTCGTATAATGTCTCATTGTATTGTAACTATAAGTAAAGTCTGAAGTATTGTGATAGAAATAAATTATTTATGTACCTAACTTTTTTCTGTGTTTATTTTGTACATGTAAAATTAAATTGAATGTAGATTAACGTCTCTCATACCTCCCTCTCACGTACCACTCAGTTGTTAAATTTTTAAATATTGTAACTGCATTGCGTTTTTTGTATAATTAAGTAAACTTGCTTTTTTTGTTAGATAACCGAATGGTACAATGGGGCGTGCTTATAAACTGTCATTAGTATATTACTCCCAGTTCATAAAATATATCAAATTTGTGCTTCTCGATAAATAAGGTTGTTAATATTGATGTATGTAGATTAATGCTTATGAACAGACTTGCATAATAAATGTTATTTGTAATATCAACACAATCTCTACCTCACAGCGAATTTGCTGCATACAAATTGAAGTGCACTTCTTATGTTTAACAGTGGGCTTAATTCATATCATATTTAAAAAACTTCAGTGCTCAAATTTTCTATAGAGGGTAAAATAATATAAATCTCTAATTTGAACATCGAGCAGTTACATGCTTAACAAACAAAAATTATAACTAAATCTTTAATGTCAATATTTTAATTAATATCCTTTTTGATTTTGTTAGGTTGTTAGAGATCTTTCCCATCTTAAGATAAATATGTTGTTTTTTATACATTTATAAATATTGAATTTTTCTGCATACATTCAGATTTTTTATTGAAAACCCTCTTATTTTTATATTGTATTTTTATTTTATTTATTAATAAAAATACAATAAATACCCTTTGTGCTTTAAAAAAAAGGGACCTACCATTCTCTAGCTAAATTTGTTTAAGGCTTATGTTTAATTGATCCTCAAAAAGATAGTGAATCATCACTCTATGGGCAACCTAACCTTTAGGTTTTCAGTTGTTTTTTTTTTGGGAGATCTCTATTTTTTTCCTTTGTTAAATATAATATCGAGTCAAGCCCTCTGTTGAGTTTTAGTTTGTCGTAAACAGGAGTTCCTTATCGATACCGGCTACATGTCTAAGTTATACAAAGGTTGCCAGCTAAATATACACATAATAATGTTTTTCATTATCTGTTATGATCATTGCAATGTATTTTTATAGTACATATAAAAATATCCACTACAAAGCAGTGTAATGGCCTATGCCTTACAAGCCAGGCTTTATTATTAAGAATTTCCTACTGCTGGCATAGATAAACTTATTGTCTTGTGGAGGTGAAATTGATTTTTGTTTACTAAATTTGTTAACTAATACAGTTGCGTGGAGTTCGTTTTTTTTTATTTAGACAAGATCTATTCAGTTTAGAATCCTTTTTCTGCAATTTTATTATAATACTGTACCTTTATTATATTTCCTTTTATTAAGCAACAATGAATTGTAATCAAAGTACTGATTTTTATTTCATTTATATTGAAGGATGATTCTGTTTTTATCCTAAAAATCAATAGTTTTATATTTTTTAAGGTTTTTAAATGCAAATAAAAAACTTAATTTACTTGAGTGAGAAGAAAGTATTTTGTTGGTCAAGCAAACTTGTTATAAATTAATTTACAAATCTAAAACGTTTTACTAAAGTAACAAAGAAGGAGTTTTTGTATTTTGTTATTTTTATTTGATTATAGTAAATCTAGCATGTAATTTTAACGACTTTTTTGTTGAATTTAAATGTCATTATTTTGATTGCTGAATTCTCATTCAGTAAAGTAAAGTGAAGTGTAAATTATTCATTTCCATACTTCGATCAACAATACTAAAGATAACGGGTCAGCGCGTAAATTCCGTCTCGGTAAATATAGCCTCACTTGAGGCGTGAGATCTTATTTTTAATTAGTTCGGTTATTACACAGCTAATGTAAACACGCATCACGCTGACACATTGTGCATTCAAAAGTTGCAAATTTAACTAACAAATAAGCAATGTTTCTGTCGGAGTATCTTACTTTCAGTAAGTACATGTTAAATACACTATATTTTATGCTTTACATTAAGAAGCAATGTCATATTTCTAATAAAATCACAATATTCAAACCGCCTGCTAAGACTGTTTGACAATATTGGTCCAACTTTTTTCCAACAACCATTTCGTAGTGACTAAAAGAATCGATGTAAAAACGAAGTAACTTGCTGGCCAATGACTGGTAAAAACACTTTATTTTGTGGGTCATTAGGTTGATTTCACATTTTATTTTTCTCACCTTTATCGTTTTTTTTTTCAAGTATCAGATATAATTTATTGTCTTGTTCGTTTTATAAGATCGTTTGATTCCTTTGTGACATGGTTGTTATTAGGTTGAACTTAAAAACATTTGTCTTTATTCATTGGGAATCGAATGTAGCTGCATTAGTATGGACACGCGGACAGTTTTTAACTTTGATTTTGTATGCAACCCGTTATCTATAGAATTGTTGATCGAAGTTTCCATATCATCAACATAAGGGTTTGTTTATTGAATTTGGTGGTTATTGAATTTGTTTTCGTTTGAAGTATTTGTGTAATGCGATTTTGTAGTTAACTGTCATTTTTTTTTATAATTACAACTTTTATGGCTGATCCACAGACTTCTTATCACTAAGTAAGGTTAGAAGTTTTAGAGGTGATTTTTTATGTTTAACTTTACGGGATTTTAAATAAAAGTTGTAGATTGAGTTTTCGTCTGTGTTGGCCCCCTAAAAGCCAAACGCCACGCATGATATAGTTTGTGAATGGATCTAAGTTTTTATATTTGTTTTAACATATTTGGTAAGACATAATAAAACATTCTCTTCAACAGACAACATTGCCATGTTTTATTTCTCAACTTTGTTTTCTTAAAATATTTAATTACAGTAGAACTGTAGATACCTAATTTGCCTGGTCCATGGCCTTTTTTTTTCACGTAGGCAAAACCTCTATTTACAGACGTTGGCGCCCTTAAGGGGCACACCAACGAACGGACCTCACACCTAGCCTCTCACAAGTCTCACGGGTACGAAACGGAAAAGCCGTTAGGCAGTCCGTGCGGCTAACAAGCGCTTACGGCATATTATCCGCTAAAAGACCCTGCGAATACCCACTACGCTGTTGTAAGTGCGGAACCGCGAGATCCCCGTTGTGGGACTTCACGTCGTCTCCGCGCCCAACAGACTCCCGGCCTAGACGGCTCCACGGCAGATCTACCGGGGTATTTTGGATGATCCCGCAGACGTGCAGAGGACTGGCCGACTTTAGGAAGTAAGTGCGCGGCCGCACCGCTCCCCGTCCGCTGCGGAAGGGCTGACTAGGCGTTTCCCTCGCAGGCACTTCGGCGGCCCTCTCATGTAGGACAGAACTACATAGAGGGCCGTCGTCACGGAATCCATCGGTGATCGGCATAGCTAACACCATACCGGGCAGCGAGGGATTCCCTCAGGTAGGGGGGTCACTGGGTGGGTGCGGCCAGGGCGCGCCTTCGCCTTTCTCTACCTGTCCTTCTGGAGCGGCCAGAGGATTATCCTCTCGTTCCCTCTCGGCCGCCTCCTTCTGCGAGATGACGTTATCACAGGAGGCGGCCTTCTCGCCGCTGAGCATGGCCTCGACCATGCTCCGCAGCGAGAGGGTTCCGCATCGAAGTGCCGCGATTAGCTTGCGATGCTGTCGTCGCCAGGCTGGGCACTCCAACAAGGTGTGCTCGGGCGATCCGGTGCAGATAGTGATCGAAACACCCATGTCCGGTCAGAATCTGCACCATGCGGAAGGTGAGGCCGCCGCGCAGCGCGAGTGCCTCGTCCCATCGGTGCAAAGCTTCCCTCTGCGCGATGGAACGGACCCGCCGCAGCTATGCTGCAACCGGTCGCTCCCCGCTCCCTGGCTTCGACCCGACCTCGATGCACGTCTGCCAGGACCTGTGCATCGAGATCCCACGGCGTCAAGCCTGCGAGTACGCAGGCCGTATGGTACATGGCCAGGTATAGGTTACACATCCGTCCGTATTCCGTTCACAGAACATATAATGCATCCATGAGTGTTTGCGTGAGTAATGGTAGGTATACAAGTTAATTTTAATATACCAGAAACCTCGCAATACTAGATTGCTAACATCATACATATCAACATTTGTTCTACGAGTTTTGAAAACTCGTTACATTTTATTTTTTATACAAAAATAAATATTAAGTTAATTGACCACCCGAATGTTATTAACTCTACAGGCCAATACAGACACGTGGGATCGGGGTGAAAGACGAGGGCGCGCGGGCGGGACAGGACGCGACGCGACGCTAGCGTTTGAACATGGTTGACCTATTTATCTAGGTGCCGTTCAAGTATTACGTAAGCACTCTAGGGGGGCAGGGGGGTCTTTGCTTTGCTTATTTTTAATGACATGGGGGGTGGGGGGGGTCGAGATAGTGATTACGTCAGCATCATGGATTCGGGTGTCATGGACTGAAGACTGTTAATTGGTATACTTATACCAAAAATTCAAAAGAAGTTTGTTTTGTTCGTAATAGTACCTAATAAGGTTATAATCTTGTTATAATATTTGTACCTTACCCTATGCTGAATGCTGTGTCAATCAAGTTTGTTTAAATGAATATTATGTGCGTTAAAGTCCTCTATCCTAAACCTATTTAAGTACTGCTGCTCATGAAGCTCATGAATCAATAAAAAAACAGAATACATATTAGGAAAAATGCATAAAGATACCAATGTTTACGTAAGCACGGGAGGGGGAGGTAAGAGCTTTGCTTACTTTTGCTGACAAGGGGGAGGAGGGGGTAAATAATTGTAATTAATCTACTTACGTAATACTTAAACGAGCGATAACGGGCTGCATGAAAACCACCCCAACGGCAGCACTAGAGACGATTCTTAACGTAAGAGCACTACATTTCTACATACAGCAAGAAGCAGCATGTGCGTCTACTAGGCTCCACATGCTGGGCTTGTGGAGAGACTACAATACGCCACATACTCGTATTTCAAAGGGTATTGAGGAAGAATACCCCTTCTTCATGGCGAAAAACGACATGATCCTTAGATAATACGTATTTGACAAAAAATATAGAATACAACTATATGAAGACAATCCAGATCGAGGACTGCACAAGGAGCTAAGGGTATAGACAGACGGCTCCAAAACCAACTCAGGTACTGGTGCAGGTGTGTTATCAAAGGAAATCAACATTCATATATCAGAATAATCAGAAAGCCTATCCTCAACACGGTCTTTCAGGCGGAGTCCATAGGCATTGTCAGAGCAGCGGAGCCATCACACGACGAGCAATCACGGGAAAGAAAATCCGGATACTCTCTGACAGTGCCTCGGTACTCCAGGCGCTAGACAACAATAAAATGACGTCCAGCCTGGTTTTTGAATGCCACTGCAAACTTATGGAGGTAGGCAACGAAAACGAGGTCATACTCCAATGGATAAAAGGACATGGTGGGTCGAGGGGCAATGATGCGGCAGATTGTCTGGCCAGGAGAGGGTCGGACACTGTGGTATTTGGTCCAGAACCCATCGTACCGATCCCATACCGACTGCTGCGAGGTTGGATTAGGTAATGATACCTGCGACAACATAACGAATACTGGCTTGGATTTGCAGACTGCAACCACGCCAGGGACGCCATACCTAAGCTAGACCCACGGCTAGCAAGTAAGTTTTGCAAGCTACCTAGACATGCTTTGGAACAAATAGTGAGCATTCTCATAGAAGACGGACACTTTAATAAACATCTTTTTAAAATAGGAGTCTCGGGCAGTCCTCTGTGCAGAGCCTGCATGGAGGAAGAGACGAGCACTCACATCCTGCTACAGTGCAGAGGTGTGATCAGACAACGGATGACACACCTAGGCAGCCTGTAGGCTACTCGAGGCCTGCGGAGACACCAAGAGACTGCTGAGCTTCTTGGGAGAATTGGGATGGCATGACTAAGGCCATCCTCTCACGCAAAATAGGCACCTGGTGTCGAGCTGCGGAAAACACACACCATTCAGAAGAAGGAATAGGATCAATATTTTTAATTGCAAATCATTGAAACAATCAATTGAAGGTGTTAAATCATTACGTGTTTTTAGTGATATTGTTGTAAAATTTTGATATCCCTTTCCTGAATAGCTTGTAAACTTTTTATTTGTACACAGCATTAATACTGCTCCTATTTGTGAATGATAAAATTTCCTTAGTCACTATAATCTCTAAAACAATATTTTTTTGGTGAAAAGTCCTTTCAACATGTAGAATTTGCACTGTTTTCAATATCTTTGTGTCATAAAACTACTACACAACACCATTTTTCTTGTTTTGATTAATGCGCCACTCATGGTAAGAAAAAAGACTAAATACTTCAACTTGTCATGGCATATTGTAAATGCTGATTGGATTCTCTATCAAAGTTTGTGGCATTATTAAAGTGACAAGACAATTTATATTTTGCCTTGGGTATATTTTAAAACTGAGTGATATTATAGAGACAACCCTGTTTGTGCGGAAATGCGGAATCATACCAATTGCCTGCGACATATACATGAACTGATAGTGGCACTCAGCAGCAGACGGATTGGATGTCGCATTGATGACTAGCAATTTGCATTGACAAAAGAGGTGCAAAGCCATATGATCAGCATAACTAATAATGCTGATGATATGGCTCTGCAGCTCTGAATTTCCATCATCCCACAGAAACCCCATCACAACAGGTAAGTATCTCTATTACATGAATAGCACTGTTTTGCATGCTGGATCTAGCAAGAAGGATGGTCCTTAAATAATTACAAAGATCTATTGATTCAACAGCCTCTTTTAATAATAAATATATTGTTATTACATCTTTATTATCTACAGTAAGTTGGTAATTGAACAGGATTTATTCATTAATACAGCATTTCCTGTTAGAAGTTAACATCATAGTTGTTGGTCTTTATATAAATGTTCCACCACCTTCCCATGAAGCCTACATCTACTATTCTGGATGGGAAACTGAAGTACGAAGGCTTTAAATATGAACATTGTGCTTTATACAAATCACATCCATCATTTAAAATATTAACATACATTATTGAAGCGATGCCTAGACTTCTATAATGGATAACATCTTCATTATAACATATATCGATATAACGCAAATGTTCTATTGCCTTTCTGCTTTGACACTGTTCACTAACTAAAATAACTTCATTGGTCACCCTTTTTAAACTATCTTTAAAATCAATTTCATTTGGATTATTAGAAGCCAATGTGAAGACTGTAACCAAACCCGTTGTCCATTTTAAAGCTTTGATCGGTTCATCTTGGATATCAACCCTTAGGTCTTGTAGCATCTGACGATAATCAATAAATAGATTTTTCCAATAGTCAGTCCATTTTTCTATTACAGTTCCTTTTAGCCTTTCAGGGAATTTTATTTTACCCAAAGTATTGATATAAGAAATACTTCTTACACTTTTTAACATATTGAAACAATATAAACTGTGTCTGAGTGAAATAAGTACAAACAGAAACAAAAATTCAGAAAATTTTAACCTCTAATTTGACGGGATTCACAGTCAGCTGTCATTTTTAGAATTTTGCCACATTGTATTTTTTTTTTCTTTTATAGCTTGCACGGATTGTGCGTCAGCCACATACGAGTGCAAAGGTAAAGCGCCTACTGACATACCTGCCGCAGGGACAATCTAGAGTGGGAATGACCCTTAATTGCCTCCTGAATAATAATATGTGTGTATCTTGTTCTAAACTTTCATGGTCACTAACATTATAGTAATATAAGTTATTTACGGGATTGTTACCATGTACCTAGTTTTGAGCGAGTTTCCGATATTTCGGCACTGTTGCAAGCGCCATGATCACGGAGTAACTGAAGTAATTGCGGGTAGGCTGTTATTGGCAGACATATCGGTCTAACCTCCGACGAAGTCTTTTATTGCGTTCGATACTTGTACCACTGTTCACATTCTCATTATTCACTCGAAACTGTTCCCGACACACAGCACTTACAGTATCGGATCTCGACATGACGCTTTTTTGATTATTTCCGGTTTTACACATACGATCCACAAGATTCCAGACACTCGACAATTTAAAACCATCCTCACGATTGAACTTTTTATGTTTTGTTATTTCAATCGCTTCCCTGACCAATCTTGATATATATGGCGTTCTGTCGAGATAATCTGTGGGTAAGTTATATTAATAATAATTTATTAAAATAATTGTAATTTTAATAAATATTTTGTTCGTATATTAACTGCCTTAAAAAAAGCTAGCTATGGTGATGAAGTCACGCAATTTATGAGCACATTTCACTGAATAATAATAACACCACAGAGAGTTATAGTAATTTATTTTTATTCTGGTAACTTTTATCGAAGCACTTAAACAAAAAACCAAAGTGCAAATGAATTATGGAAATTTATTTGCTATTTCGCAATTTTACATAAATTAAAACAAACACTTGAAAACTTTAAGCTATTAGAAGTATTTAATATTCTGGAAAATTTACATACTCATCTTCAAGGGTGTCCCAACAGATAGGTGAGTCTATAAATTTATTAGTACCGTACAAGAAGATCATTCAGATACTTTACTAGGAATACCGATAATTTATGTTTGAGATTTGTATTGCTTTGCTTAGTCCTCAATGGAAATGTAGTTACTGAGCCCTAAAATATAATATAAATACAAATCGTCGCTCTGAAAATGAGTCGAACAAACCACGCTGCGGGAAGCTGGTTGTGACAATGGTTCATTTCTACTCTTACGAATGACCGCAATCCACTTCTCTTTTAGATTTTGATCTCGATTAGGAAATCTTAAAAAAAACGTATAATATATAATGTGTATTACATCTACAGATGGGATTTTACCCGGAAAAAACCCCAATGTGGGAAAAAATAGGGAAAAAACCCAGGGAAAATTCCCAAATGGGAAAATATTCGGGTTTTTTCATATTTAGCATATGTAACATCGAGGTAATGTGGAGATATATGTATATATCAAATGGTAAGTACTATTACTACTAGTTGGAGCTAATCTAACTTTTTTTATTTTCATAATTCAATAAAAACGTTATACATACTCCATGCTATCTAATTAAATAAAATGAAATAAAATAAAAAAAACCTGTCTGTTTGTGTGTTCATCCGCTCTTAGCGACAAGTAATTCGAAACTACGTACGCGAGTGCAGGTAGTAGCAGTGGCGTACGCGTTGGGGATCTATCTATCTTACACGTTATTTTGGCTTCGTACTGTGCACACTTGTGTTAATATGTTGGTTTAATTGACGACTGGGATTTTGTTTCCCAAAACTGCAACGAAATGTTAGGTATGGTGCTTGCGTTGCGTTGTATGCAGTTTTTTCATGCGACAGAACATGCTTGCTATATAGTTGTTAGTGTTCACCACCTTCACCATACATGACATCACTGGTATTATATGAACAGTCCATGTCGATTATGATAAAAGTGGCGTTCAAAAAACCGTATAAAGCACACGTCACTCATACACAGATTATAAATAAATATATAGAAAAACAAAGAACCAAAATTAGGGAAACTTGCCAGCAGCATCATCACAAATAAAAACCAGCACAAATACCGCTAATTTATTTCTATTTCTATTCTACGTACATACATAGTATCACGTCAGTAAGGGATTTACGGGGTAGACAGAGCCGAAGGCCATGGCCACGTTTTATTTTCGAACGAATGTTTTGAGAATGAAGTTAACTCGTTTAATAGGAAATCTGTGAGACAACAATCTATTTGTACTAATGCCACCACTCCTACGTGACGGCAAGAAACAAAAAAAAAAGCAAACAAACCTTTACGGTGAAATAAAACAAACACTATACGCAACACTTGGCAAGTAAAATTTCACTACTTTCGATTCTGTTAAACTACATATATACCACAATCAAGCTAATCACTTATCACAATAGATAAATTAGCATTCGAATCCGTCCATGCGAATGCGCGCGAAACAATGGCCTCACTACGTCAGGTTAACAGAGCCGAGCGCCAGGCGTCTGCGATTGGCCGAAAACTTTAAGCTAAACGGAGCCTTAAGACATGACAAATAAAGATTGCAGACTATCTAAGATCGGGTTATATCGCTGTTATATCGACGATTGGTTGCATGTGGTAGTAATGTGTATTTGTGCGTGAAGTGCTTACATTTTATTTATTTGAAGTCCCAATATGATAAGCGGCTTATCCAGCCTACTTCGGCGCGGATCTGTGAGCGTATGCGCGATATCAAATGCATTGCGTATTTTGTATCCAGCATATTAAAGAATATTTTTGACGTGACAACGTCTTAAATTAGGTTGCGGCTGGGAGTCACTTATGAAAAAGTGTAACGCTCGGTAACGTTACGATGAGTCTCTCGTGTTAAGTTTAAGTTTACATGTACAATGTTTTAGTAAACAAAATATATTTCTATAGTTAAAATTTGTGCAATTCTTATTTTCATTCAATTCCTTGTTCCTATTGTGCAATTTAATTATATTCATATCAATAAATATTCTACCGAGAAAAAGACGTTGTCACGTAAAATCTTCGCCCGTAAAACCGACTTTACAGGCAACCATTTTTTTTACAAAGCGTCAATGTTCGCTTGTGCTTGAATGTAAATATATTAGAGTCTGGCAAGGTAAACCGGCAGGAATCGTGTTCTAAGGAGGCTTCGATACTGCAAAGTACCTATTTTTCGCTACATTTGTTCTAAAAATAAAAAATAAAGTTTTGGAGTTTACTCCTTAAGAATCGATTTGCATATATAAGGGGCCCGGTATGAGAAAAATCTATCGATGAATGACCTCGTTACGTTTTTGGTGCGCATCCTATGTCGCGCAACTTTGACAAACAAAGACGACGGATTGACATTCATATTTTTTTTAAAATCTGAAGTGACTAGATATTGTTTCTGATAAAGCAATGGGGACAACGAGGTATGGTACAACCATTGATGCGGTATTTTCAAGATTCGTGAACCACGTATCTACGAACGTCCGTGTGTCTTATTTTCATGTACTATTTATTATTGTACGTAAAAGATTTAGTGACATAATTATCTTTTTATAACCATTTTTGTTAATTGTTAAGATAATATTATATTTTAAATAAAAAAATAATTATATGTAAACTCTAGTCGTGCGTCGAAGCTGACACACACAATTTTTTTCCCATTGGTCTATTGGGTTTTTTCCCATTGGGTTTTTTCTTATACGAATACATAAAGAAAGCGTGTGAACGTTTTTTGTTTGTGAGACGTGATTTTTGAAATCTGCTTTTATAGCAACAACACGCTCGTGTTTGTGGGAGTATTGCACATTTTTGTAAGTGTGCTATACGTGTGTACCTTGTCCCCCGCTACAAATGACGAAAAATTAAAGTTTGTCTATAAAGACGTGACATCAAATGATGGCGCCACTAGTATACATGTAGCAACCCTATACAGTCGGACCAAAATGATTTTGATACTAGCAGTTCATTCAAGTAAAATAGGTAATTAATAAGACACACAGTCGTATTTTGTTTCCGTTTTATATATAGTAGGTACCTATGCTTATAAAAAGTTTAGCCAAGCATATTCAATTGAATCAGAATAAAATTATTATAGATAAAATAGTACTTTATAGTGTAAAAGTGTGTAATGTTGTTGATTACCGCTGAGGTGCCATTGAGACCAGAGCCGTTAGGTAATCATCAATACACACAAGTATCATCATACGACGTTTTTTAACACACTTGTTAAGAAAATAATACTTAAAATCATTTAATAGTATATAGAAAGGTTTATTTAGAGAAACAATTTGTAAATGTGCAGTTAGTAAAATTAGTGATAGGTATCTTCACTAAAAGCATCTGGCCATGGTTCTTTATGTGACCATTTCTTTCTTTGGTCGGCCGTGCCTGTTTTCCCAGGAGTTTCAAACTTTCCATCGTTCTTAAAACCTTCGTTGACTATCCGACTCTCTGATTTTCCTGAAAAAAAGTAAAAAAATATGTAACGGAATAGAAACAATAACTTATTGACATGAAGCAATTCATTCAAAATTGGTAGAAAACCTGACCGAGTTGAACCATAATAACGTATCAAAAGAAATGGTCGTACTACAATATTACCTATTTACAATGTCAATCTAACCTAAAAATGTGCAATGTAAACAATGCCTTTTTTGGTCTCAAAATCGTAAATTGCGTAAATTTGTAACTTCAGGCAGATTATATAGATGCTGTTCGCCTATAAGCATCATCCAAATCCCACAAAATTCGTCCAGCTTGGTAGTCTTCGAAACATCGCTGGAAAACTTTAAAAGTCAATTCCCGCGTGCCACTCCGATTTACTTTACTCATTTTTATACCTTTCTGCGTAGTTTCGTCTTAATTTATTACAGTTTAATCCAAACAATAAAAAATACAAAAGGAAAACTGTTCCACAACTGAAACTCGATGACAGCTGATGTACATAAGTTTGGTGTTGCCAGACACATGAATAATGTTAGTTTCTCAAACCATCATGTCACGACTTTATAGACAAACTGTATGTTCAGCGAGCGATTGGTATGGCATTTCCATTGATGTATGCTCTAAGATCTTTCTGTTTTGGCAAGGTTCATCGAACGATCACAAACAAAATATTTAGCGATTTTATTAGTACCGATTCAGTTGGATCATCCCTATGGCATGGGTATTGCCACAGATAACAGAGATTGAGAGATCAGTAGCTGTTGCTGTATGATGAATTGACATTGGCAAAATTTTGAATCTTTTAAAGATTTCGGTGACTTTATCAAAAAATAAAAGTAATTATTACCACAATTTCAATAGGTAATACATACTGGAACATGTCAGAATTGAGAAAAAGAAATAAAGAACACTCTCGAGAAACCTCAGTTGTAAATAAAATTGATATCGCTCACAATAGTCCGTAAGTTTCTGTCTGCACCACAATTTTCTACTTTGCTGGCCAGGATTGAGGGACCAGCCTTACTGCCGTTTTGTATCTCGCCCGTGTATCATTACAAAACCGCGCTTATAAACACTTTTATGGTCATTTTATTTACCTTACCATGGTGCGATGCGCAAGACCGAGCATCAATCAGGCTGGCATATATTTTCGGCTATAATACTGGCGGTGTTCTTAATTTGTAATAATAAATTAGCAAATTCTTACGAGACTGTCTACATCTAGAGTACATTATGAAAGCAATTTGACTCGCCGCTTAAACTAAAGAATCTTTAAAAAGATAAAATAATGGCAGTGTATCAGTTAAGAAAAACTACTATTCAACAAAATTACCACTATAAACAACCTTGTCGATCATACTCCAATTAGTTGCAAGTAAAACTGTTTTTAAATTGTTGTATTAAGATTGATCACCCACTGAATCATAAATTGGTACATGCAATTTATATCCACGATCGTATTTAAAAACATTCAAACATTATTTAACATTTTTCAGGCCAGCAAATCGAAATATATCATTACGAGTTCTATCACGTGTGGTAGTTATTTCATCTCTTTTGATTGTTGTATACTTTTCTTCAAAACAAGAAAACGTAAAAACATTCGCTAGACAAACAGAAATGATAGTTGGGAAAGGTCTGGTAGTTGAATGTTCCCCAGATTACATAAATGAAATTGTGAAATTTGATGAATGTTATCCAAAGGAATGTAAAAGATTTGTAACAGATCAAGTGATATCTGCAAAAGAAGCAAATGATTTACTCATTATAGCAAAGAAAGGATTTCTACTTGGTGGTTCAGATGGTGGGGCTTCTATACTAGACCTACACAGTGGAGCTTTATCAAAAGGAAAATATTTTATCAATATTTATAAAATGGAGGCAACAAAAGACATATTTACTGATAAAGACTTCAATACACTAAGGGTAATTAATACTCTTTATTTGTTTTTAAAGAACCGTAAGTATATAACATGATATTAAGCAGCTATCATGGTTAATGTTCAAATTTATCAATAGGTAATCAAAGAGAAAATCAAGTATGCTGTAGCACATCACTTCAGTGTAAATCCAAATAAATTATACTTGACATCTCCAACATTCTTTTCTGAAATGACATCAAAGAAACCTGTCACTATACATGATGAATATTGGCACCCGCATGTTGATAAAGTAAGTTATCTTAACATATATTTACAAGGAAATTAATTTATTTGAATTACTTTAATTTTATTATGTCAGAATGATTGATAATCTTATTGCAGGAAACATATAAGTCATTCCATTATACAACATTATTGTATCTTGGTGACTATGGTATTGACTTCAAAGGTGGCAGATTTGTATTTATTGATGACAAGCTCAATAGAACTGTAGAACCAAGAAAAGGCAGAGTAAGCATGTTTACTAGTGGTAAAGAGAACCTACATTATGTTGAGAAAGTTACCTCAGGTGTAAGATATGCTGTTACTGTAGCTTTCACATGTGATAAAGTATTTGAGTTAAAATAATATAAGAGACTGTATTCTAATCATAGTTAAATTATTGTAATATTTCTTTTTGTTATATAAAATAGAACAGCCTACAGCAGCTATACTCTAAGTGTGTTCCGCGGAACCCTAGGGTTCCGTGATACCTCTGTCGGGGTTCCGCAAGAATTTAGAAATAAAAAAATCAAAACACCTCTCTCTGGTCGCTCCGCGGCTGTGCGGACTCCGCGGCCGCGCGGAGACAAAACGCTATGAATGTTATTTATTTATTTATTTGTATTTGTATAAGCTTGTGTTACATTAGCTGGTACAATATCTCATAAGTTTGGTCTCAACAATTTTATACTTGTACAACGCGTTCGCTCTAAGTTTGCCGGTCTGTGGAATGCGCGTACCCTCCCCCACGTGACAACAAAACTTATAATGTGTCATAGTTTTACCCAAATATCTAACGTACACAATTTTTATTGTTACAATTAAATAAAAAATTTCGAACGTCATACACTCATACCTATCGCCAGCGGCAAACTTAAAACGAGCGGGTAGTATACTTGTAAGCGCTCAGTCTCTTTGATAAAAGCCGCCTCTGAATTAGACGCTATAGTTGTCAACTAGCGACTTTCGTCTCTAACTTCAAAGGATAAAGTCGATATTGTTTACAACGCTATTTTTAAATTTCTGTTTTTATTTTTGCTTTTTGTTTATCAAAGGTGCCGACTCGAGTATTTTCGAGAATATTTGAGATCGAGTCTAGGACTAAGTATAAAAGCGGCGATCGCGCGTTGGCGTCGTCAGTTGATGATTAGCGTTCGGAGCGATAAGTTACTACCTACTTACAAGCTCGCTAGCGAGAAACTGGTGTTCATTGTTTTACTGCCTGCTGTATTCTGTTGTCTCAGTTTTATACATTTCTTCCCTGTAGGTTCTAAATTTAGTCTCTTATACGCAGTAACGATTGTGCATTATTTAAACCCCACTATCCTGACTTGTAACATTATAAATAAAGAAGAATGGAACGTTGGCTTAAAGGTGTTAAACGTGTTCCAACAACATCTTCTAATGACGCTGAATGTTCAAAAGCAATGCGCGCGGAGAATTTAGCAATCACCGATCCAGAAGATGATGCCACGAGTGCCACGACGTCAAGCTCGACGGTTTCAAAGACGAAAAAAAGGAAGTATGATGAATCTTATATCAGTTTCGGATTTGTTGATTCCAACGGCTCACCTCTCTGCATGCTCTGTAGTAAACTGCTTCCTAATAGTTCCATGGCACCTGCCAAATTGCGTCGACATTTAGAAACCGTACACCCCGAGACTAAAGACAAGAATAAAGAATTTTTTGTTCGCAAAAAAGATCAGTTATTAGAAAGTCAAAAAAATATGATGCATGTAACACAAACTACCAACGAAAAGGCCACGGAGGCATCATACTTAGTTAGCTATCGCATTGCACAAGCAGGTGAAGCGCACACTATCGCTGAGAAATTAATAAAACCATGTGTATTAGACATAACAAAATGTATGCTTGATGAAAAATCTGCAAAGCATCTTTCTACTGTTCCGCTATCAAACGATACTGTTTCACGACGAATCCATGATCTGGCAAGCTACGTCAAACAAGAACTAGTTACACGTCTACAAAATACACGATTCGCTTTGCAAATGGACGAGTCGACTGATGTCGCTGGTTTGGCTATCCTGCTGGTTATTGTGAGATATCCATATAAAAGTTCTTTTGAAGAAGACATGCTTATGTGTTCATCGCTGCTTACAAACACTACCGGGGAAGAAATTTTTAATAAAATAAATATATTTTTTGAAGAACATAATCTCAGTTGGAACAATTGCATTGACATTTGTACAGATGGGGCCAAGGCGATGACAGGTAAAACAGCAGGAGCAGTGTCACGAATGAAAAATAAAGCGCCTAATTGTAGTTCCAGTCATTGTATTCTGCATAGACAAGCACTTGCGATGAAGCAAATGCCGTCTAATCTAAAATTAGTTATGGATGAAGCGGTAAAAATAATTAATTTTATCAAATCACGACCACTACAATCCCGATTGTTCTCATTATTGTGTGAAGATTATGGCAGCAAACATAAAACACTGCTGCTCCATACAGAAGTGCGATGGCTGTCTCGGGGAAAAACTTTAACAAGGCTATTTGAACTTAGAGCCGAGTTACAAATGTTTCTTTCAGCAGATACTTCTTTTAATTTGAAGGACCGTTTGTATGATAAAACTTGGTTGTTCCGATTGTCTTTTATGGCGGATATCTTTCAAAAACTTAACGAATTAAATTTATCATTGCAAGGTAAACAGACAACAGTGTTTCAGGCCTATAATAAAATAACTACTTTTAAAAGAAAATTAGATTTTTGGATCATTTGCATTGGTAAGAAAGAAATAGAAAGTTTTACGTTACTCACTGAGTTTGTTAGCGAAAACGACTCAGAAATGTTTGAAGATAATGTGTTTGAAGAATTGGTCCAATATCTCAGTTCGATGCGCGCATCTTTTGAAAAGTATTTTCCCGAAGAACACAATACAAAAATTAAAGTGAACTCCTGGATTCATAATCCTTTTTTACCCAACTTGGAAAAGCCTGAAAACATGTCAAATGAGATATATGAATCTCTTTTAGAAATGTCATCAGACACAAGTATGGAGTCATTGTTCAAAACGACGCCTCTTAATGATTTTTGGTGCAGAATCCAAGATGAATATGCAATGCTTGGCCAAATGGCTCTGGATATTCTTCTCCCGTTCCCAACTACATATTTGTGCGAAACAGGATTCTCTACCTACGCAGCCATGAAAACAAAATATCGCAATAGACTGGACGCCGAAGCTGATATGAGACTCCAACTTTCTTCCATCAAACCTGATATCAAGCAATTGATGAAAAATAAAAAACAGTTTCATACCTCCCACTAGTTAGATTTTTTCTTTTTTAATGTTTTCTATTATTGTCCTTACCAAGTGGTGAAGTAAATAATAATTAGTAACGGATACATTGTACTTTTATTATGCTGATTAATATAGAATACACTTATAAAAATAATTGTTTTATTGTAGGGTTCCATCAAGTATTTTGCTTCCCAAAAGGGTTCCGTCATTTAAAAAGTTTGAGAACCACTGGCCTACAGTAATTATACAGATCTTTCATACTTTTTGTATGAATTGTAAAGAAAATTTCCAATTTGTAATTTTAATCTAATATTAAATTATATAAAATATCCGTTTAACAAACTTGTTTCATTTTTATTAAAGGTATTGAATTTGTTTATTCAATATCTATAGAATAAACGGCAAGCTTATTACCGATCTTGCTGTAAGATGCAATCTCACTTACAATTTCATTTATTCAGATTTCTGACTGCCAAATATCTAATACTGGCTGCTTCTACAGATATAGTGACATTTTGCCGTGTAATGTAGTAAAGCACATCATAAAATGGCAGCTACCGAAATCGGAAGGTAGGTCCTAAAGACAACACCTGAGTTAAAATTGAACTCCCTGACAATCGATAACTCGTGGCTGACCGTGCGGTAAGCTCGCACGACCCGGGTCGCGATGGTCCTCTGCGGTCGTCACAGCAGGGCCGCCGTGCGCGGTTTGAGGCACTCTGCCCAAACCGGGGCTCCATAAAGTGCCATCGATCGTATCACCCCGTGATACAGTCGACGGCACGCATCCACCCGGATATGAAGCCCCAGTTGGGTGCTGCGACGTAGGCCGTGGAACAGCATGGCCCTCGTTTTATCGAGGGCCATATCCCGGCCCAGGAGGCGGATGCGTTGGACGGTTAGCGCAGTGCCTACCGACGCCAAACAAACCGCCCCTCTGCCGACTTTGCCTTCGCCGCGACCAATATGTCGTCGGCGAAGCAGACAACCTCCATATTGGGGAGGAGGCTGCCTCGCAGCACCCAGTTGTACCACAGGTTCCAGAGCAGCGGACCCAGCACTGACCCCTCGGGTACCCCTGCGGCCATGGCCCGAGAGCACACGCTTCCATCGGGCCCCTCGTAGAGGACTGACCTCCCCTGCAGGTAGTCCTCTACGATCGCTCGCAGGTTTGGAGGCACGCAGTGAAAGCGTAGTCCCTCCATAATACACTGGTGGGGGAGACTGTTAAAGGCGTTGTGAATGTCCAGCGACACCGCAACAGCAGTCTCTCCCCACCGAGTGGCCGCCTCGGTCCACCCCTTCAAAAGGGCCACCGCCTCAACTGTGGACCGGTTTCACCGGTATCCGAACTGGTGCTCTGCCAGATTCGGGCCCGGCCCCTCCAGGTGCTCGATGATACGCCCCGCCAGGATTCGTTCAAAGAACTTCCCGGCGTCATTGAGCACCACTATGGGCCTGTAGCCGGAGGAGTCCTTAGGACAGTCATAAGCGCGGCGTCGCCTGGCTATAGCATATCCAAACGTACTGGAACAGCTTATCCGCTAACTTACTGTTCGACATTAAGCCGAAAGGCGAGTCGGTATCGATCCTCCATGTGTCATCATTATCACCAGCTTATTAATGTCCTCCTCTGGATCTGGATGGAATACAATGGATAGGGAGATTGGGCCGTCAGCCAGTGTGGATTGGTGGGTGATAACGACTGCAGAAGCACGGAGGGACTCGAAAGCTTTTGGTCATCCATCCAATGACAGACCATTGCAAAAGATTCTTAACTTCGAGGATCGAAGGCCAAACACGCTATCCACCTGCGCCTATGAGCGCAGCTGGTTTGTGTGCTATGATGCTAATACGGATAAAATATATGTTTGTCGGAGGGGGTGAGCGGGATAGGCGGTTGGCCACGTGGTTCGCCTTGATCCGCCATCTTGGGTATTCGATGTTATTTTCCGAAAATGAAACTGTAGTCTAATAACCAAGCTAATGTTTAATTTAAATCTTTAAATCACTATACAAAATATGATATGATTACAAGGATACAAATGGATTGCTTTGTGAAGCGCGGAGAGTTCTCTGCTAACGTCCGTTCACTATCGCGGCTCCCGTCTGAATGCCCCTTCCATTACGTCGTCATCTTTCGTCGTCGGAATCCTTTCTAGCTTTTGGGCTACTTAGGACGTTGCGGGTTC